TTTTCCCACATCAGCAACATAAAAGCCTTCATGCGCTTAGTGGGTTACAAACGCATCTTTGCTTTTCATGGAATCCACACTGTGCAAGTGCTGATGTCGTGATGTGTTTTTTCAGACGTATCTCCCATAAATGCAGCTGCAGCCCACAAGCTGTAGTACTGACCAGATTATCAGAAATGCTCAGAAAAAAGCTCCCATGAATTCAGGTACAGGAATGAAGTCTTCAGATTTAGTAGGAAGGCATGATACTTCCAAAACTGACTGTTGCTGTAAGGAAAGCTTTTTTCTCATATCCCCCCCCTCCCCCCCCTTCTATAGTTGAATTAAAACAGAAGTACCAATCTCTGTATTCAGTCTTTTAAACACAAAGCAAGTTAAATGCTAAAAGCTCCAAAGTGTTTCATTACTTTGAATATTAAATTACTGAAAATGAAATATATGGAGTCCAGAAAGACAAAATTGCTACTATTTACATTTTTGGTTGAGAAATGCTCTGAAACAGCTAGAAACAGTAACACTTAAAAAACCCGTAGTCTTCTTCCTTTACCATTTTGTCTTCTAACACTTCTTGGCTATGAAAATATCCTTTTTAAATGAAAACAATTTCAATGGAACACAAATGTTTCTAAGAGGACATTAGCAACTTATTTTCTTTATTACTTTCTCATTATATTTATAATGAAGAAATAATTATTTCTAGGCTGTTTCCTGCCAGATGCTGTTCTAGTACCTCTAATAGGACATATCTTAAAATAACTGCTTGGTAACAAGAACAAGAAACTAAATATTTCGTCCTTACTCATGTTTTCCTTTCTCTTCCTTTTCTCTCTCTTGAAGTAACTTCATTGATTTGGGTTCTTTCATAAATTCTGGCCTGCTTATATCTTTTTCCTCCATTATTTGTTATTGAGGCAATTCATAAAATCACCTTTATGGGGGGAAAGTGACTACAGAGGGCATCTGATGTTCAAAAAAGGCAGAGATTACCTCTGTTTTAATGCCAACAGAGGCAGGATGAGAATCCTCAGGCTGTTTCACACCAGCTCAAAACATCCCTCCTCACCACTTCCTTTGTACCACCACTAAGACAAGGAACCAGATCAGAGAACTGATCCCGCTGGCAACTAACCAGCCAAAAGACCAGCCAAACTTGGCTTTTTAGCTAGACAAGTTATTTCAGCCAGCTCACCACCATCACACAAATACTTCTCCCCACACAACACAAGACAGCAAGGAAGAAGGTGGCAGAGCTATATTCAGATTCATCAGTAATATAGTTTTATGGTAGAGTAATCACAGTCTTAAAAAAAACCCAAACCAAAACCAGAAAATCCCCCATAGATTCTGCTGGCAGTCTGTCTGGAGCAGGCTGCCTCAGTGGATGGTGGGACATAAGCCAGCTCCAATCCAGAGGCCTCTTGGAGCAACCTTGCCCTGAATCCTGCCCTGCTTAACATGCTTCATGAGCCCTTCGAATAAGGGTTAAATACTCAAGGCCAGGATTTTGCACAAGTGGATACATTTTCCCATGAATATGCTGCTGGTATTGATTTGCAAAGGCATGTGTCAATGAAACAAAAGGATATTTTCATTTTAATTATACAAGAACTCCAGTTATCTGAAACTCCTCAAATATTCACCACAGCTCTGGTGCCAGAGAATGTTGCCAAAAATTAATAAAAAAATGGTTCCATGTACCTATGGAATCATCTATTTATGAAAAGCATATTATTCAGTTGCCAACCTGGTATATTCGAACTGAAAAAGAGATTCCCAACCTTGCAAATGTAAAGCAGACTATGAAGTTACTGTTAGTAATAAGGTTAACTATCTCATACTTTGAAAGCACTTTGAAAAAATACCTGTACACATTCTTGACTTCCGAGTCCTCTGTCACTGTGCATCTTTACATACCATGGAAATGAGTCACCAGCACAAGATGATGAGGCAAAGCACAGCAGTACTCAATTATATTTTGTAATGCACTGAGTTCAGAAGTCCAACTGAGTGCTGTCGCCTGATTCTTCTATCAACCTCCAGCTGAGTTTTTCCCATGGATGAAAACATATTCACAAATAATTATTATTTCCTTAAATTCTTCTCTATGCCATCGGATCATTCATAGAGTGCTATGTCAGTTAACAGCAACATGGATACAACATTCAAAAAAACACAGCACAAAGGTTGAAGGCACTCAACATCAGCAAGACCACCAGCAGGAAATAACCTAGATTTTTGTGCTAGTTGAGGGTTAATTCAGTAGTTCTGTATTTTTGCTCAGGACCTTTTTCTTGAAAATACAGATATGAAGATGATCATAAAAAATAAAAAAAAAAAAGAAAAAAATTACCTACCTTACATGGTGCTTTCCATCCAAAAAGGAAATCTTCCAAAACAAGACTGCTTGTAACTGTGTCTTGAGTCTGCCTCCCTTACAATTCAGGGAATTCATATTATTTGAATGGATACATACATATGCATGCATCCAGGCTGCAATCACATTAGTATTTTAAATGCTAAAACTATGCTATTATATAAAAAGAGCATTCAATAGTTGATGGAAATTTGGATGGTTTTCTAAAAAGGAAATCTCCAAGGCCTTTTTATTTTTCCTGCTGTTAGTTTTATTTTAAAGAAGCCATCACACTCTCAGTTTCTCTTGCACAAGAGAAATTAAAATAGAATATAACAACAACAAAAAAAAACTGTAGCGAACTGAAGTGGATAGGGACTGGTTTGCTTTCGAGTCCTTTCTAGTGGAATAACATAAAAATCATAAGTCTGAGATATATGTAGATGCACTACGTTACGGTCTAGAAGGCCCTGTTAGTCAATTCTGAAGTAAATGCCTACTGCATTGTCTAATTCATGTGAAAACAAGGTATGTTTTACAAATTCTACCAATTTTACAATAACTGCATTTTTCATTCCCTCTGGTTAAAACAACAGTACATAACATTAGCAAAGAGAGATCTTTATAGAGTGCTCTGTACTTCACACTACTCTCACTTGCTTGGGATGCGGCAAACACTTTCAGTCTGATTTACTCAGAACATGCTGAAACTGCTCACCACACACGTTTTATCCAAAAAGGCTACATTTTGGCTCTGAGGGGAGACCTACAAATTAAGACTGTACAAAATAACACCCATCAGACTCTTTCAAAATGGTGCATTTTTCTGTTCAAAGTGTTCAAATTTCCTGTTCAAAGTACATTGAAGTCAATGAGAAACACCTATTGATTTCAATGGATACCAGTACACATCCTTATAACAACATAAATATAAGTAACTTTTGAAATCACACAGTGAAATAAATACAGAGTCTTGAAAAAAACGGAGAAAAGATGCTATTGTCATTTAACTGGTTTCTATTTTTCCTGGATTTCTTCCTAGTTTGGGGAGACTGGGGATGTGGTTTATACTGACCTCCATAAGGCAATTTAGCTTTTGGATTTTCACTAAATAAGAAACCTTATTTATGGAGTTTTGTTCCTCCAACTTCATGCTGTTTCACTTTATTCTTGTCAGACTATGAAGAGAAGCCCCTTCTGTTCTTCCCACTTTCTGCTGACCTGCACAAACTTACTGCTACATAGTTATGCAATGCTTCTACAACTTTGATCTTCCTTGCCTTTATCAGAAAACATGATACTTCACCTAGGCTTCTCAACACCTCAGTTGCCATTTTCCTAATCTGTTATTCAATGTTGGGATTAAATAAAACCAAGAGCAAATTTTCGTCAGCTGTCTGTAGTGTAATTCACAACAGTCAGTGCTAGACACACACCACCTACCTATTTTAATGCAGTCAAGCCTATTGACAACTCCCAGGAAGACAAGAAAGAACTCACCAAAACTCCTTTCTTCCTAAAGCCTTTGGGTCAAGCAAAAGCTCTGGAGCACAGTGTGCAAAGTCCATCATCTACTCTGCTTTCTAAATAGATCTCTTGGAAACTTTGGGGATTTGGAGGGTGAGTGTGCTACAGCAGAAATCGTGCTCCAGCTTTCACACTGAGCAAGATTCTCCTAGGAAACCTCCTGTAGCCCCTATGGGAAAATGTCTCAGGTGGCCAATATGGTCATTTCTTCCACTCTGGCCTTCCCTCCGCTTCCAATAGCAGAAGGAATATGGGAATGTTAGGTTTTAGATAAACTGGATATATATACACTGTAAACTCCGATGTCCTCACATGGCACACAGACACTGTGCTAAAGCATAAGGTATACTTAAGCCAAATGATATACAGGAGATATGCAAGAAAATGGAAGGAGACAGAATTCTGTGCATATTGAAAAACTGAGTTCATCTGCTTTTCTGTAGAAATACTGGTTATATCCAATTAAATACAGTTACTTGGTTTCCCCAATTTTTTTGCGAAGTCCAGCCTGAATGATGAAAATTTTAAGATGCCAAAGAGGGTATGTTTGAACATTCTGTAATCAATACCTTTTAGCTCCTATTAACAGAAAAGCTCTAATCATATTCCTTATTAAATTATTTACCTCTATCATTAAATTATCTTATGGTCTACTTGCCTGATCACAGGGTAATGCAGACTGGATGACAAAACAGTCTACAAAGTCTACTTGGTTTTCCCTTAAAAGACACATGGAGAAGAAATGTGCTACCAACATCCATTTGATGGGGATGAGCCCATTTTATAGGAGGAGAAACATAATCCAGTTCTGCCAGGTAAACCCATTTTATAGGAGGAGAAACATAATCCAGTCCTGCCAGTGAGCTTGAAGAGCTCAGGTCACCAAGGAGGGCTGGGGTCTAGGCTTGCCACCTTGCTTGGCTTCATTACTTTCATACTTGCAGTGAAACCTGTTGATAGTAGGCCGATAGAAATTTGACCTTGCTCACAATTGTCTATAAAATATACTTCAGCTCCCATGAAGGCAATCTCCCTCAACTTAGTTTTTAACTGGTTCTCCCAAATGATTGTGCTAGTGGTTGGGGCTGCATCACTGCAGTCTGTGGGAGTTTTGCTGTTGGTAACAATGTCTCCGAGGAAACAGCAGTCAGTGAAGATCTATCTCTGTTTCCTGGTAAGGTTTTTTGGCTTTCTATCCAGTTTCCTTTAATGTTGATTGAGATGACTTACCTGAAGAGTTTGGTTAATTTTAAATCACTATGGTACTGTCAAAAAAGATTGCCTGATGTAGGCAATAGCAAATAATAAAAATAGCTCCTGCAGAGTTCATCGCACACAGACCCATCCCTAATTAATCATTTGGTCACTGAAATGACACCTGCAACATTCTCCCTTAGGATTTTAGTTAGCAGTGTTGAGTATTTGAGCTACTACATTTAATACGGATTTTGTTTGTGCTTCTGAATTACACAGTATTCAGAACCTGCCAGTTTACTGCAGGCTTTTTACTGCTTCTGATCACTCTACAAGGAGATTAAATATAATAAAGAACAACTGTTAACAATAACCTCCTGTTCACATTGTCCATAGGTACTTTGGAAAGCTAGTTACAATCGTTTTTTCATGTACTGTTAACAAAAAAATGTAGCACAGTACTATAAATTAGTCCTAGACTCATAATTAGATTTTTTTTTCTTAAAATCTCATTTTGAACATAGGCATTCAAATGTTGGAAGGTACTTCAGAAATAAACTGATGGGTTAAAAATAGATTTTCTTAGTGTGGTATCATTAAAAATTTCTTCCAAAATAGAAGGATATAAATATTTAAAATCTTTATTTTTTAATCCTCTTTTCTTCTTTATAAGTCTTTAAAATGAAATGGGAACTCAAATGAATACAAATAGCACACTGAACCCTGAACCAGTGTTGATCCTACTGAACAATACACTGAAAAAGCTGATTGTACAATCATTATACAGGGATGGGTGGAAGGATGAGACAGCTTTTTCTAGTGAGTTGTTTGAAGCTCTTCCTAAGAGAAAGCACACTTGGTTTTTATCATAGAAGAAAACGGAGTAATTTCATTTACTTATGGTGCAAACACTAGTTTTGAAACACAGCAAGACATCATTCTTCATACTAGAAATATTCTCTCATTTGTGCAGTTATGATCAGTAACTGCCAGAGAAGTAGCTTTGTTTCTTCTGGCTCAACAAAATAAACAATCTCTTGTATACTGTCTTCTATTCTGACAATCTGAAATAATGCGATCAAATCAGGGAAGAAGCAGCTATAGCAACTACAGATACAGCCAAAGATGCAAACTACTGCAATTAGACACCTTGCGCAGGTGCTCCATTTTCAGTTCAGTGCTACGGCACATGTAATGGTTTTCTGAAGAATGTTGTAATCACAGACTTCTCCTAGATGTAAAACACAAAAAGGAAAGGACCATACCTGGCCTTCTGAGAGCATCACTTAAGCAAAGAACAGGCTAAGGTAACAGTTTATACCACTATATCATAATAAAGTCATGTAAAACATTCCCACATCCCTATCATTCTATCATTGACAGCCCAATGCTATACATGAAATAGCAGCCTGGGATCCATACTACATGCTGTAGGACACGTCTTGCAGTGTCTCAGGTCGTGCAAGTTAAATGTCATATTCTCAGCCATGAACTGACTAAAAGGTTTGGAGAGACAGAAAGAGGCACAAAAATATAGTATAATTTCACCATTACAGAGTCTTTTTACTCTGATTCTTCTCCCAACATAGTCTAGGGCAGTCTCATACATGCCCTCAAGTGCCCCAGATTCTTATGGCCTCTATCAGTCACTTTATTATTACCTCAGCACAAAAATCACTCAACACTTACCTGATCTGTCTCCAACATAAAACTTTGACCACAGGCCACCAATCTGCTATTCCAGTCAATTGAAGCCAAGGATTAGTCCAGACCCTTTAAAGGCACAGCCAAATCACAGCTGAGAATTTGGCCTTTGATTTTTACATGTCACCTGCACAGAAACACTAACCACTTGCCTAGCCAGATGGATCTGTACAAACATTTTCAGGTTTATTCCCAGCGTATCTTCCCCCCATTCTCATGAAAAGAACATTTCTAATTAAGATTTCTATCAGGTTTAAACAATTCAATTCTGTAATAAAGTTGCCTGCCTGCATATTGCAGTTTGAGCCACTAAGAAAAGAACTTATCTATGCCACAGTTTAAGAGAAACAAATGGATCATAAACTTTTTTATTCCTCAGGCTCCACCTAAAACCTTTATTTTCATATTTATGTCACAGCATTCCTTCACAAAAAGGTGTCACTCATTCACTCAAAGATGTGCCATAGCCACGCTCATCAAAGCACAGGAAAATTTGTTTTGCTCAATTTTGAAGCCACTTTTATCAACTGTGTTGAAAATTTAACTTGACACAAATATATATAAAGCAGAGGGGGGGGGGGAGTGAGAGGAGGAGTATGTGTTCAAAGGAAATCAGGAATGCGATTGAAAAATGGGGAGGGGGTGTGATCCTAAACCCCAAAGCAACCAAAGGCAGAACAAAAAATTCAAATAAAAAGTTGAACATTGTGGGCCTGGTCCTCATCTACCACAACTGATGTAATTTAGGAATAAAGCCACTCAAGCTGGTCAACAAGGTCAAAGAAGAACCAACACTTAAGATTACCTTACCAAACCAAAACCTCCAATTTTGAAAATTACATCAGATTTCAGACTTTACAACGTGCACTCATTCTTATTTTGGAGTGAGAATTTCCCAGGTTGCAATGCAAAATAATGCTTAGTAAAAATATACGGAGCTCTACAACTCCTTTGCATAACTTTTCCGGAGTTGCACTCTCCCAGGCTGGACTCTCTTTTCTTTTTCCACTGTTCATTTTCTTCCCCCCATTCTGCCAATTTTAATCTAGCAGGGAAAGTCTTTTTTCTATCAAGCACTGTCTAAATATTCAGGACACAGACCTTGCACTCCAAGAATGCAATGCTCTGTCCAGACAGCAGTGCTGGGTGCCTCAGGGATCTGAAATAATCAACATGTGTATTCCTAGCAGTCAAGATGTGTTCCACTGCACAGCTGTGCACCTCTGCCTTTGTTTCAGGTGCATGTTCCTCCCAAAGGCAAGTTCTGTGTAGCCAGAGTAGTCTGAAGAGAGTGATGGTTCACTGCTAGCTGAAGGGAGGAAGATAAATCTGTTACCCATTACCCTGGTAGGAGTCAACTAATTATCCCCAATAACTCCAGCCTTTACAATGGGAAAGTAGCACACAGCTTTTATAAATAAGAATTATTGACCTCTTTTTAATAGTTTCAAAAGAAGAAACTCTGCATCAAATGTGAGTATAATTTAGGAACTACTACATAGCAGCAAAACTACATTAGACTTTCCGATTTTTCCATGGTATCCTTGGATAGATACACCACCCAGTAGACCATGTTAAATGCTCCAAAGGTAACAGGAAATAAAATGCGTGCATATTTGTCTATCTTACTCGTGCCAGAATGGGAGGCAGGGGGAGCAGGTGGTGTGACAGCAGATGGCTTTGCAGATCCTCCTAACGTGTTAGGTGTAGTGGTCTGAATCTGCTCCAGTCTAGATCCAAGCAAGCGCTGAATGGAAGGGGATCCAGCTGTGGCATGCTGGGATACAAATCCAGTTAAAATTGGGGTAGAAGGAGGAGCTGGAGGGGTAGCTCTTGCAGAAGATAATGTCTCTGATGCATTGATTCGTGTGAAAGGGTTGGGACTTGATGCAGAAAGGGAATGGGGTGTAATGTCAGAAGACCCCTGAGCTACAGAGGGAGGCTGGATGGAGCTATGCCTTGTGTCAATTCGGCTCCTACCATCAGCTTCAGACTGTACTGTGGCATTTGTTCTTTTCCTCACATTTGAGTTGGCATCTGTACTCTGCAAAGTTAAAAAAAAAACATACTAGTCATTCTTAAAATAAACACACAGAATCAATGGAAACTTTATAATCAAGCACTATCAGAGTAATACTCACAAATAGAACCAGTAGCTCGATCCTGAAGCACAAAGATACCACGTGCTCATGAAAATAGATTTATTAGCATATAAAGTGATAAACAAGAGTTCCTTTTACCTGTGGCTGGAATACCAGGGTGAACATACCTGATGCATCATATTCCATGTGATGTGGTACCTATGTAAATTCAATATGATGAAGCTAAGGATTCTTGCATTAGAGTCCAGTTTTTTTTTTTTTATTTCCAGGCTTACACTCAGAACAAAATTCTCTGATGTTTACCTATTTTCTCAATATATAAAAACATTCTAGAGGCAACTTACCACCATGATGGTTTAGTTATGGCTTATATCTCCAGAAAAGTAACTACCATATATAAGGAACTCCGGCCTGTCTTCTAGAGTAGATGCTATTAAAATGCAAGTATTTATAAAACCAAGTCACCACATTGCAGCTCTTTCAGAAATAAAGACAGTGCTTTTTCACACCAAACATAGGCAATAAATTCTCCAGCTGTAATTGATCTAGTGAATAAACCAGTCTTTCATCAACTACTCCTTTCCGTTAATTAAACTAAGAAAAGTGGTAAATTCTCCATCACTTGATGTCTTCAGGCAAGTCTGGATGTCTTCTGAAAGATATACTTAAGCCAAATAGTACTTATTAGGCTGGATGAGAAACTGAAAGACAGATAAATAAGTACAGACGGAAAATCCAGCAGAGTTTAATATTTACTGACTTCTGAGAGTGGGACTCAGGCTCTGCCGTTCTTCTCTGTATCTAAGAGGAAGCCTAACATCTCTTGAATCTCCTTTTGGAAGCGCACCCGAAGAACACTCTTTTGAACCCTCAGCCCTGCACCTAAAATATTATATAAAACATATTATATTTTAAATATAATACTTGAATATATTTTGTGCAAAGACTCATTGCTTTCCAAAAGCAAAGATATAATGCAGATAGAGTACTGTCCAGGTTTCAGCTTTAACCACGACAGGTACATATTCACAGTAGCAGCAGTACGAGTCTAAATACAGGGAGAACCAAATAACCACTCATTATAGATCAAAAAAAAAAACATAAAAAAAAAAATCACATTTTGCACCTCTCTAATGATACTGTTCCCAAGTACTGCTCTGCAACACAAGTACTGTGCCTTTGGCTCCACTTCCTTACACCCCTACCAGAGAACCCTGCCAAAGCTCACAGCACAAAGAAAAGGGAGAGGAAGTGGGCAATGATTTCCCTCCTTCATCCAACAGCAGTTCTCTCCAGCTAAGTGTCAGAGCAGTAATGGAGAACAACCCAGGTGTTACTCAAGGTACTAACACCATGAGAAGTGAGCAGTGAGAAGAGTAACAATCAGGTCTGTTTGCTGCATCAGTTGTCCTTAGCTGCTTTGATCAAAGAAACAGAGAGATGGAGCTGAGAAAAAAAATGAAAAAAATCAAATCACTTGACATCTCCAGTACTCCCACCATGGCCAGAATGCTGGTCCCAGATCCTGTTAATTGCAGTACAAATCAGTCATTGGCAATACTGCTGGCCTGAATTTATCTGAAGCTGTCATAGCTATATGCCAGTTCATGGCTGATGTATTTGCCAGCTCATGGTTGATAGATCAAAGAATCCCTCTTAAGTTTCACTTAGATTTCCTTCCTGCATAGAAGCATGTCAATCCCTTTATTTATTTTTCTGCATCTGCAATCCAAAGAAGCAGAGGACTGGAATAAATGCCAGAGGAAACTGGATTTCCTGAAAGAAACACTAATTGTACTGTCTGAAAGAGAAGCCTGAGTCACTCTTCGGGAAGTGCAGAAGTACACACAGGTGTGCAATTTGGATACTTTCACACTAGGGTTGTTCCACACTAGGTTTCAAAACTGCTAAATTGAAATTATAAAGCACAATCAGGACAGGAGTGCATTTACTAGACACTTGGTAACACCTAGCAGAGTATTACATGTTACTTGAAGGCTTGCAAACCTAAGCAGGTACAAGTCATTCACTGTCCAAAACAATAGTTCTGTTCTACAGAGAAGCTGGCACTAGAGTCATTGACAGGAGGAGAGTTTTACCTTCTAGGTGCAGCTCCTTGTTCAACTGGCTTTGTTCAGGTTAGATTCTCCCATCATAAAGTTCTCAAGCAGTGCCTGGTGAGCAAAAGTCCTTGGGCTGGGCCAGGGGTTTCAAAGTAGATCTGCACTGGAACTAACAAGTCTCACTTCCCTCCTCGTCTCTGCCTACATTAGACATGTAGCTTAGAGGCAGTGCCATTGAAGAAAAGTACCACACCTTCAGACACTCTAAGCCTATCCATAAAAGAGTGGTCCCAAGAGTAGAACAGAGAACTTGAATGCAGTTCTCAGAGGCACCAATTCAATGCTCCTGCTCACTTGTACTGCGACCTGTTTTCAACAACCATCTCAGTGCATCATCAACCACAGACACTGGTAAGACAGAGAAGTAACAGCCATGCTTCTTCTCTCATCACAGTCATCTCTATTTCTTTAGTGGAAACATTTTTTCCATTGATAAGTTTGCATAACATTTCCTCTTCCCCCCACTTTGGCCGTCATCTAAGTGCCCAAATGAGACCTGTTGCTACATTTTATCCACTACTGATATCCCACTACAGTGCATATTCTAAAATAAAATTGTATATATATACACACATATACACATACATATCACATCGAATGGTCAAAATGTATAACTGTCTAAAACTCTACAGGGCATTCTCTTTCTTGCCACTGATACACAAAGCTTCCAATATTTCAGGAACTTTAAGATTAGAGAGAAACCCAGTTTCCTCATAAGTATTACAATGTACACATAAAGCCCAAAGAGATAACATTGTAAGATAACACAACATACCACTGCATAACATGCCCTAAAAATATGGGTACATACTTTTTTAATTCTCTTGAAATCACCTTTCACGCGCTTAGAACATGGAAATTAGAAATGCTGTTTCTAATGTGGTCTGCAGAGAACGCATCACTGCAACCTGTTTTTCTTGCATAATGTAATTGTCATAGCTTGGTTTTGTGTTCTTGAACTGCACCTTGCCCTTGAAACATACTGAAACATATAACATACTGGAAAAAGCACATTCCATACAGAGTAGCCCTGTTTACCATTAATACTCACTCTAACAGTGCTGGGAGCAACTTTAATATTGGAGATAGAAAATCTCCTGGGTCAGTATTCAGTTTCAATACCTTACACACTCCACAAGGCCCTGTCTAAGGGGAACACATTCAAACCCCCATCCCCAGTAAGTTTTGCAGAATCAGCATGCAACAGCAAAACAAGAGGCAGTCAGCCTGCCTCACTGCTTCCTTTTTTAACACGGCAGCTGTATTGTTCCCACTGTGAATGGTAAGCACTCACCTCTGTCCTCTGTCAAAGCTGAGCAGAATACATCCTCACTTGCCAGGATGGCCTCTCCAGCACATTGCCCACCACCTTCCCTCATATAGCCTTTTCTTGCTCTTGCCTTATTCAAGCCTAAATCATGACAATAGCTCACTCTGCCTTCAGGTGTCTCTCTTTTTAGGTTTGTCCAGTGAAAAAGTTTCTAGCAAAAATTTTTTTGTCGGTGGTTGTATTCATACGATCCCTATATATTCCCCTATTCCTCTGTTATAAAGCTAACTAATTTCTTCCCACATTAGTCTATTCCTTCTCTGTACTAATGCTATTGCACAACTCTACATCATCTGAAGATCAGTGCCAAGGTCACTAACAAAAAATATTAAACAAGTCTGATTCCATGGCCAAGCCTTAACAAATCAAATTCTATTGATATTAGCAGACATCAGGTTAAACAGTACATTGCAAAACATAACATTCAGATTGTAATAAGCAAAACATTCCACAAGCATTTCAGCAATGCTGCATACCCCTAGTAAAAGGTTATTGTGATAATGACAATCTGACCAACAAAATTATATACATATGTAAAGCACTTGCTGCCTCACAAAATTATTTTACTTAGCCTTTTTAAAACAACAGCAAGAAACACAAACCTACTGTCCATCAGTAGCTTTTAGTTTGGAGGCACTGTATTGGGTTTGCGTGGCAAGGCTTTGGTAGCAGGGGGGTACAGGGGTGGCTTCTGTGAGAAGCTGCTAGAAGCTTCCCCTATGTCCAATAGAGCCAATGCCAGCTGGCTACAAGACAGACGCACTGCTGGCCAAAGCTGTGCCCATCAGCGGCAGTGGTAGTATCTCTGGGATAATGGACTTAAAATGGGGAAAAATTACTGCACAAGAGCAACTTCAGTCCAATAGAGGAGTGAGAATGTGTGAGAGGAACAGCTCTGCAGACACCAAGGTCAGTGCAGAAGGAGGGGAGGAGGTGCTCCAGGCGCTGGAGCAGATTCCCCTGCAACCCGTGGTGCAGACCATGGTGAGTCAGGCTGTGCCCCTGCAGCCATGGAGATCCAGGGTGGAGCAGAAAACCACCTGCAGCCCATCAGGACCCCATGCCAGAGCAGGGGAACACCCAAAGGAAGCTGTAACCTTATGAGAAGCCCACGCTGGCGCAGGTTTGCTGCAGGACTTGTGACACCGCAGAGGACCCATGCTGGAGCAGTCTGTTCCTGAAGGACTGCACCCTGTGGGAGGGATCCCATGCTGGAGCAGGGAAAGAACGTAAGGAGTCCTCCTCCTGAGGAGGACAAGATAATGTGTGATGAACTGAACAGCCCTCGTTCCCCATCCCCCTGCACTGCTGGCAGGTAGGAGGTAGAGAATTCAGGAGTAAAGTTAAGCCTGGGAAGAAGGGAGGGGTGGGGGAAGGTGTTTTAAGATTTGCTTTTATTTGTCTCACTGCCCTGCTGTGATTTGATTGGTAATAAATTAATTTCCCCAAGTTGTCACTGTTTTGCCCATGATGGTAACTGGTGACTGAT